GAGTTATCTACTACTACAACAGGCACACGATAAGAAGAATATGGTCTAACTCGTGACATCTATGACGTAGGTCAGTATTTAGCAAAGCGGTGGGTAAAAACGTGCTGGCGCGAGCTGGGTCACGCCGAGGTCGGCGATCTTGTGTTAAACTGCTTTCGACACGCTAAGATTGTGACTGGGATGATATCAACCTGTCGCTCTCGGTGGAAGGCGGATGAGCTAGTGAGCCGATAGATTATGGACTTCTCGAACTGTCTTCGAGTTCGAGATTCAATTATCATCGACGAATTTGTTTGCAATCCTGCTGAAGAAGATGCTGCCATGAGTAGTTAACGGGGGAATACCGAATAACGTTAGCTAAGAGGCTCATTTGGATGCACCGACATCAAGCCTACAAATACTAAACTAAACTTGGTAATTGTGTGTTGCACTCTTTTTACATAAAATACAGCATGCCCAGTTTTAGAATTTTTCTATCCAATGTTGAAATGGATTGGAGATGCTAATACTGATAATGCTACACCACTGTATTCCATAACTGATGATATTTGACTGCTATTAAAAAGATACTCGACTGACCTTCCGTTTATTAATACAGCAGTTGGTCCATCGTGTGCGTGATTCTTGAGACGTATCTGTGCGACCACCATCCAGTCGTTCACCTCAGCGCCCTCACCGTACTTGCTACTGTTTTCGATGGCGAAGCCCACGGCCTGCTTGAGCGTTGAAGGCTTCGCGGGGCGCACAAACCTGTGCCGATATCTTGGTTTTCATGGCGCGCGCGAACGCGTCCACATAGAATTCGCCGGTAGTCTTGGATGTCCAGTCCTTAATTCTGTAAGGCTATTTGCATAGTCACTTAGTAGGTCGTTGTCGGCATTGAATTAACTGAAGCTGTATCCACAGGCACTCTCCCTCCCATATATGTTCCTCAAGTGCCACTCCAGGTTCGTAATACGCTTTAGTTTCAAGGGCGTCTGACCTCCAATTTGAGGAACCACGTCGCTGCGGTTCCCTTCAAATGGGCTGACACCCCATAGTACAAGTCCCATGGCGACCGGTCTTTGCCCTTCAACACCATCTAGCGATGTTGGACCTGCTTCGCTGCCTCGATCGAAGCCACCACTTTCTCACCCTCCATTCCCGCGAATTCGTTCACTTCTAGTTTATTTGTCTTCGGTCGCGACTCTACAATTGTCGGAATTGTTGGTGCTGGGTGCCGGTGGTGGTGCCGCCAGCGCCGCCGTTGTGAGCGTATCCAGGTATCGTCGTTGTTGTGGTGTTCCTCCTTGGTCATCACGCCCGCTGCCACTACCGTTATCACGACTGCGTCGCCACGACTACCACCAACTCGGTTGCTGTAACCTCGATCACGACCTCCAGATCCACCTCGTCGAGCTCCACCAGAGCCGCCCTGGTCTCCACGATGACCGCCATGGTCGTCCCCACTGTCAGTACGGGGTCCATCATTATCACCTGGCAGCCCTGCTGCAACGCCACACGAAATGATCGACGTGGACATTTCCACCGCTTCGTTACCGCCGTTATAATCCCCGTCCAACCTCACGCGTGTAGTGCGCTGCTTCTTCCTCGAGCGATGGACAACCGCTCCGTCGTCATATTACTCAACATCGGTCCTTGCGCTCCTGGTACGCGCTGCAGGGCCTAGTATCACACTTCTCACCTCGCTTTTTGTGGTGTAGCTGGATCAGGAAAACCTGCGAGATTGCTGGATCTAAATTCCTAGCACCGACTAACAATGAGGGGGGGGGGGGGAGTTCCCGATGATCAGCGATCAGCTGAACTTGTACTCCTTGTGTACTCACCTGTAGAGTAGGATCTGGTAACAACAGAGAAGTTCAAATGGGCGAAGTTTGAATGTCTTAGCTAGACACGGAGATGGGGTGGAGTAGCAGTGGAACATCTCCGCTCTATGTCCAATGTAGTGGTCTTGATCTGCGATTTTGACCGTTGGTAGACTTGTGGGCGTGTCCCTTGAGATTCCATTTCGTCGTGCTTGCTGCTACCTATAGCGGGATCTTGATAGTTGAGGATCGATTGTTTTTCCTGGCCAAGCAGTAACTCCGGTTAACCTCCTGGATCTGCACCTGAAAGGGAAAGTTCATTAAATGGTATGACCTGGCCAAAATGCTATCCAGGTATTACAACACTTGCTCTGCTATTCACAACCTTCAATGAGCTAGATGCGGCCAATGTGGTTCCGGGTCTTGAGGGCAGGAAGGCACGTGTGTAACACATTGCAAATTCGAGTCTGATTTATAATTAGGTCCTATATACCAACTGTCCATACCATTACAACCCCCGTCAGTGTGTGCAGGCACCCTGGTGGTTGTTCAAGCAGTTCTGAACTATGCACCAGTAGATTCGAAAAAGGAAGCGGGCAAACGGTGAGTAGGAACTCCGTAGGATAAGAAGAGGAACAAGAGAATTGAATAAATAAAAAAAGAAAACTGGGGTTCTTTCGGTTCTCTCCGCTTCGGCAGAGAGCACGCCTGGCAAAATTCGCAGTCAACAGGTTGAGGCAACCGGACAGACATTCTGATTTGAGGTGCTCGGGTGTTTGGAGGAATGTCTTGTCAGTTTGAGCGAGCTAAGTGGCCCTTCTTGTCCGCGAGAACCACAGACTTCACTGACTCGACTGGATATACCTTATTGAGCACTCTGGGTAGACTTCGCTAGCCTGGAGGGAGAGCGTTCGCTGAGGTTGAGATGTCCAAACCGGGACAGATATAAGAAGGCTAAACTTTGTAGAGCATAGGCGGCTATAGGCACGATACTCTTCGGATCGGGTGATGATCTGAAGAAGCACTCGGGAGTGAGGAGCTAAACAGGAAGGGAGAGTGAGTGAGAGCAGTGGGAGTGTGGCAGAGTGCTTATTGAGAAATGAAAATATGGAACATGATGAATGGACACCGTTCCGAACAAGCAACTTGACCAATCTGGCTGCGGCAATGTTGAAGCAGATTGAACCGGAGAGAGTGATGGATTCGACGCAGGGTGCCACGATGAAGTCCGATATGACGACGTTGACTCACAATTAAGCCTAGATCACATGGATTCAGTCATGACGAGGAGAGATCAGGTAAACCAGAGATCTCGCACTGCCAAGTTCCAATCGAGAATATAAATGGATGGACTTTGATGATCCCGAGCTTGAACGACTAGTACAGGGTGATTGGGTCAAGGATCACGAGAATGGATATCACGATAACATGGTGTACACCGATCAGAGCCAAGAGTTACAGATCCGAACATTGTGGAGTGGGAGCTGGACGATCCAGGAATCCGACATCGAAGATCCTGCATTCTCGAGTATGCGCGAGTGGATCCTGCGAATCTCGGACGGTGAGACCCAGATTGGGATGATTTGTGCGTGAATAATCATGATGAAGGCCTGTGAAAGCTGGGTCAAGCTTCAACATGCTCCGGATCACCAAAATCGTCAGGATCAGGAGTATAGTGTCCTGATCTGGAGTATTTGTGTCGTGCTTGGGACACATCCGCCACGATCCAGCCATAAGAGGAGGACTATGCTGCAGACCAACAAAGATCCGGTGGCGAGGACAGCTAAACGGCAAAGATCGACACGGAAGAGCAAGTACAGGGCTGAAGATAACTGGATTATCCTCGCAGCTACCACCCGTTCACACTGACGAGTTGTCCTGGTCAACGCAAATCTTGATCTGACTGATACTCCTTCCGGCACACTTCCACCGTCTGCGACCTTACTTTTCTGGCGATCTTCTGACAAGATCCACCGCCCTTTCGTGCTTCAGAGTGATCTCCGGCACACGAAGCCATGACGCCCTTCGCGCCGCCACGCTTGTTTATCCCTTCGCGACCTTCATCGCATTGGGTTTATTCTCCGCCGTCTTCGTCAAACACACGCACGCATCCTCAGCTGTCATCCACGTCAAAACGTCGTTGATAGTCACACCTTACTGACCTGGGCCTTACCGGTACGCAAACAGCCACCTCTTCTCAGTTGACTCCGTCGTCTCGCCCTTAATTTGTCGACCTCTTGTCCTTCGCGTTCGTCGATTTCCCCGCCTTGCCGTCGTCGTCAACCTTGCCCACATGGCGCGCTCATCTCGCCATTCAGCGGTCTCACCGCACCACCCTTGTTTACTGTAACGTTGGGAGCAATTGATGCCAGTTACTTGATATTACAAGGTTGCGATGTGTTGTTGCAGCCTCTTGCTAGCGTATATGGCAAGAAATTGCTCAATATTGAAAGTCTACCCGATTCAGTCGCTACTAATGGCACGGTCAATTTTTTTCTTCGGTTGGGTGCTTTACAAATCTGTCCTTTTGATTTATGCCCCCTCCTAATTCTAGCTATTAAATCTGTTATAAAACACCCTTATTAAAACAGGTACGGTTGGTCAGCCCAAAAGGTGATATCGCCAAACTATACGTTTGATAATTATCACGCTTAGAAAAGGATTACAAGCAATTTGAGCTCAGCATAGCCTCAAAGCGAGTTCTTAAGTAGAGATAGTTTTGAAATTAAAGATGCGCGGTCTTAAAACACTGTGGGTGCAAGTTTCCCTCTCGCACTGGCTTCGGACGTCAAACTAATTCTAATATTTATCTTCCCGATCTCAAGACCACTCATCGCATGGTCGTGAACTCCCGCTCCGTGTAAGGATGTGTTCCTACTCTTCCCTTCTCATCAATCATGGCTAATCTGTCTGTTGTTTATTGGTGTGTGGGTCCTTCCTTATAGTTTAGACAGAGCCGAACGCATCGCAACCCTGATTTACTACTTCCGCATCGTACACCCGGGGACAAGTCTAGGCCATCGATAAATATATTTAACTCGTCAATAGACAAATATAGCCGTCAGTACACACGAGATGACAATAGCGTACGCAAAGTAGCCACAACGTTCAGTAGTATACAGCTTACTGGTTACTAGTAGATACACGTGTGAGGAGTGTACTCTCGTGGCGCTCTTCCGTCACAGCCACGGGCATCATGTCCTCCAGCCAGGTGATCACTTGGTAAGCCGCACAAGGTCAGACACTGAACCACCGCTTCTTCGTTTTGACGTCTTAGTTTCAAGCCTGGTCAAATTTGAAGCAATGCCGAACAGAAGCTAAGATTGTTATATATTACTGGCATTTTTTGTAGCTCTGTCGTGCGGCATGATGCTGTTTGACTGCTATATATATATCAGGCGGATCACGAAATGATCGAGCGACACATCCATTGCAAGAGCATAATGTATGAAAATAGTCTGACGTCTTCCGAGTGTCGTGTTCGTTGGAATGTCTGTCATTGTCCTACAGGATCGATTTCGATCGTCTTTGGCAATGGAGAATCTCACTTATGCGGGGTATTGAGTGGGTTGTGCCCCCACGTCTTCCGGTTACACCTGCGATCAAACACTGCATCAACCGAATGGGCGAATACGCAGTGCCACCTCGACTAATCTGGAGCAACCTTCGTGCGCTCCACACATTCTGACACCGGTTTTTGGCTACCGTTAATACTCTCAATTTCAGCGTAGCGTTATATGAATTCGCTGGATTCAAGGAAGCCAAAATCCAAACCAACGAATGAAGGAGTTGGTGAAATCTAAGGCTTATGTGGCGGATATTGCCCATGAGACGGCTTTCGTATTTGGAAATCTAGGAGACTAGAACGGCTTTTTGCTCGTGGGAAACGGATAGGATGAGCAACTTTGATCTTGGGCATCATCACCCTGAAATTACTGCGAGGCATTTTAGCGCCACAGCAAGCGAAGCCTTTTTCATTTCCATTTGTGCGCGACTTTCGAACGAGAGATCTTGCATATCCTACCTTCATGTATGGTTTCACCGATAAACGACACATGTACCACCTTGCGGTCTTACTTATCGTTAGTCGGCGTATAGAGAGTGAGTATTTTGAGGCTTTTGGAACATTTGCTAAGATATTTTAGACACAAGTGAAGACCGGACTAAGAATTGATGATGTTATGGGCGATGCGGAAACTCGCCTGCTCCAGGATTACTGGGTTTGTAAACTGTAAGCGTTTAATGTGCTACGTACTATACAATAATCAAAAACGGATCCGCCATTTGCCTGATTCGAATCGTGCAGTTGTTTACCGTGGAATTTTAGATATGCAGTACACACATTGCGACAATCGCAAAGTGGACGAATCCGTTGAGAAGTACAAGACGCACCTCGTGGCTACAGGCTTCAAACAGAAGTACGGCAACGACTATACGAAGACACATAGAGACGTTCTCGCTCGTGATCAAGAACGTGACGCTGTGCATGATTATCGCTTTGACCGTGTTCATTGGCTGGATGCTGGAGCAACTGGATGCGGTAAAAGCATTCTTCTGGGGTGTATGAAGGAGGTCGTGCACTGTGTGGTGCCGGAAGGTGTGGAGCTCGACGGCGCCTTCGACTGCCTGGAGCTGGTGGAGACAATCTACGGTCTCAAACAAGCTTCGCGTATGTGGAATGAGCCTTCGACGAGTATGTGTGTTTTATCGGCTTTCAAGTTTCGGCCTACGACACGTGCCCTCTACCTCAAGATTGTGGACGATTACTGCGTGCTTCTGCTGATGTATCTCGACGATATGTTGGCGACCAGTAGCTCAGCGGATCTAATTGCAAGCAGCAAGAGCGATCTCAACAAGCGTTTCGAGATGGTTGACTGTGGTAAATGTGTGTTCATATTGGGCATCGAGCTGGTGTACAACGCGGGCGGCAGCGTGATGATGCGCCAACGACGCTACGTGGACGACATTCTCAAGCACTTTGGCATGGATAAGTGCAATGCTGTAGTGAATACTGCGGATTCGATCCCTCGACTAGTTCCAAGCAACGCGTCAGCCGAGGTGAACCCTTCATTCCGCGAGGCTGTGGGTATCCTCTCGCTCTTGATGACCGCGGCATGACCCGACATCGCTTTCGCTGTGGGTTACGCAATGCGCTTCATGGAGAACACTAAAGTCGAGCACAGCACCGCGGTGAAGTGCAACTTTTGCTATCTACATGAACCGAGTCACATGTCACCTGTTTGCGGCTGAAGCCAAGGTGGACTTCCGCGGGTAATCGGACGCATATTGGGCTGGTGGCCACTCCGACCGCAATTCAACTTTGGGCTACTCGTTTCTGTTGATGAGCGCACCTGTGAGTTACAGAGGCAAGAAGCAGTCGAGCATGTCGCTGTCTACGAGCGAGGCAGAGTACATTGCGCTGAAGTTTGGCTATCTAAGAATCAAGTAGTCACCGCATATTTTGCAAGATTGTGGAGGCAAGATGCGAGTCAGGACTTGAGCTCAAAACTCTTGAAGACAACCCATCATGCATCTAGATGACCAAAAAAAACCGTGAACCATGGACGCGCCACGCACATTGACATCAAGTACCATCACATTCATGATGAGGTCAAGCGTGGTGAAGTCAAACTTGAGTACTCCGAGACTTCCAAGATGCTGGCGAACATCATGACAAATACGATGCCTAGACCGCGTCACAAGGACCTCATGACGGCGCTCAGAATCTACGCGTGTTCGCATTGGGGGGGGGGGGGGTATTGAGGATCACGGACTTTGGTCGACGTATAGCCATTAACCAGTCAACCCGAATTGGTCCAACACGATCCCGGCAAGATCACTGTACGTTGATTACGGTACCGATGATTTGGTGAGTAGGATAATTGGAAGATTAGAGAGCGTTGGTGATTGGATGCAGTCTAGGTAGTGAATACAGTGTACGCTCTGGATAATCAATCACTTCAGAATTTTTCCTTGTCCCATCATGTGGCCTTCGCTGTGGTCTTCTTTCCCAAGTGGTGCCTCCTCTCTTCGCTCAGTACAAGCTCTACGTTCTCACGATTCATGTCCTTTATCAGTATTGATGTGTTTGGGAGATCTGTTGGCTTCACCTTATTCCGGAACGTAGGTGTTTTGTATATTCGATCGAAATAAATGGAAGCATTGCTACTGACATGACTGTCAAGTCGTTGTACTCAGTATTACAATGCACCGACGTCAGGAGGGTCAAGTTACCGTGCTGGTTTTCTCCAGCAATATCCTGTTTTAATCGAGATGTTTGAAATTTGTAAATGCATATCCGACAATGTATTTATACGCAGAGGCAGTTGAAACAGCGATCTTCATGAACATACATTTCCCCTCCTTGTTAGTGCCAGCACTAAATTTGGGCGAAAACAGCCTGAAAAGGGAGATCTCATGTCAGCCTTGGTCGACGGATATACTCATAGATGTCTAACTAGCACTAGTCCAGCTCACTTCAATTTTCTGACACGATGACGTGCGTTTTGAAAGCTTGCTAGCGTCGCGAGCCCTTATTCTTGATTTTTAGTATGGAAGCTGTCACGACAAGAGGTACGGATAAGTCAGTCAGCCTTTGTTAAATAGTAGTGTGAGGAGCTCAGAAAGACCCATCTGTGTCAGTTTTGGAATGAACTCTTAGCATCGAAACACACATGAACAGTTCTTAGGTGGCTACGGCACGTCAAACAACAGTGTTTCATTGCTACTTGATAGTCCTGGACTATAAGATAGTCGCTTAAATATAAGAGAGCTCAAGTTTACTCCATGGCAATCACTGGAAGCCGACTCGGTGGACCTAAATGGCACTACCATGGGATATCTGGTTTATTAAGGTCCATTTAGAAAGGTCACTGTATGTTTATTTCTAGGAATCCCATCTTCGGTTGAGCGGAAGTTATCTGAGTGCACGACTAGCTATCTGGCCTTCGTAAGACTAAGTTGCATACGGGTAAAAAAAAACCGTTCTGTGCGAAGCAGAACTTTGTTGTGTGAAGTATGTTTCATTTTAAGATTACTTCCGGCGAATAAAAGTGAGGTTCCGGCGAATACCACCTCACCACACGACAGAGCCGTGTGAAACCCTATGCTGACATTATTCAAACGGGTAAGCATCCTCGAGTCTCTTCTCGAAAACTCCGTCTTTCAAAGGCATGTCCCCCCTCAACCTTTTAATGAGTCCGCGCTGAAACTTGGCATTGCTCAAAGCATCGCGCGCTTCCTCAGTGAGTTGTTCCCATGTGATGAGATCCTGAGTTTCACCTTCGAGATCCGTGAACCGTAATCTCGGTCTGGGCACACCGAATCCCTTAAAAGATTCGAGCTTCACTCTCGAACCATGAAGGTACTGCTCTTCAACGGGCACTTGAGAATTGTGTCGACGACCATAATTCAGTGATACGCCCAGAATCGTCGAATTGGCAAGCGCAGGATCATCAATCCAAACGACTGCAACTTCCCAATAATGGCGGCGCTGATATTTGGTGCTCCGACCTTTCGGAAGGTACCAAGCATACATGATAGCCCACATGTCCTCGTACCAGCCCGAACGAGAGTATACTTGAGAGCCCAGAGGTGAGCCTTCGCATTCCCCGTCCATAGGCCCACTTCCTTTAAGCCCAGCGCTAACTGATCCATCGGCCTGAACGGCAGGGTACGGGTGGCAACCGTAGGAGACATGAAATTGCGGCTTGTATTTGACGGCAGCCTTCTCGGAGTCGGTGGTAGGTTTGGGCTGAGCGAACGGTTCGACTTCATCATGGTTAATGTAGTTAACCTCAGCATGCACGACGCCTAGCGCCGCGATCGCGGCCAAGACGAAAGCTCGCAGGTTCATACGTAAGTAAGAACGAAGTGCGTCTCAAGTGGAAGATTGAGGAGTGAATCCAAAACATCCGTCTAGTAGTAGTTAGTACAAGTACTATAATAACCTCCATCTGGAACACATGTAACTAAGGAAGCGCAGCACAATGCTAGGATAGAGGATTTGACTTGCAGCTACGTATTCATTTTGATATTGATCATGCCATACAGTAGTTGTATAAAATGATCTATGAACAAGAGCCAACGATTCTTATGGAATTCTATTCCCAGAACTTTGAAGCCCGTACATTAAGCCCCCCCCCCCCCCCCTCCCCCCCCCTTCCTTCCTCCCCTCGTTAGCCGCTACGGGCTCCTGCTCTATATTATAATGGGGTTAGCGCGACAGAAGCATCATACATTATCGAATATACAGGGTTATAAACGAGATAGAAGTTTCGGCTAATGAAGGTGAGCACAAAATTTACAAAAAAAATTCATGAATCAATGGGGAAGTTATAGGCATTTTGGCTTGGTCTGTAGCCTACTTAGGTACATTGTTAGTACAAACATATTTTCCATTAAGGGATGTGCTACGTGTTTTGTATCAATTTTATACTAAATTAGTATAAAATCTTATAAGCAATAATCCACCGCTCTAACTAAAATATACGTTTGTAATTTTGATTTTGATTAGAGTAAATTGGTTTATCACAACCCGTGATTCACGATAGAGTCACTTTTCAAAATCAGTACATATTATAATGGGTACATGTACACATTGCTTGCTCTATGTCTGATGCATCTGTGACGCTAATAGTAATGATGGATTACTATACATACGTGTAGGACAGGGGGCTGTGGCGGCTAACGAGCACTGTAACGCGTTGATGTTTAAATCTGATCGTGCGAACTCAAGCTTTCGAGATCAGCACTGGTAACTGATCCATCCGTCTCAAACTTCGACTGAAAGCAGATTGAGACTGTTAACCAGACTCTATACGCGATACGGCTTTTCGGAATAGATGACAGGGTTTCTTGAAGGGCTGGCAGTACGATAGAAGGATCAAATGGAGCACGATACAGGCTGTACCATCATGGTATCATGCTCCATTTGGTTCATGCTCCCCGAATAAATGTATCCAGACTCGTAGATAGTCAGGCGGATAAACAGCCGAATTCCTCGGTAAACAGTTCCGAGGCTTGGAATCCTCTCAACAGCAATACTGATAATATACTGGACCAACGTCCACACTCAAGGAAGTAAGGTAAAATTACTTTTTTCGAAAGGAAAACAATCTGATGAAAATTATGTTCTGCGATGCATAACTATTGAAGAAGACCATTGACGAAACTCCCGAACGAAAATAAATAAGATAGCAACAACACTACTTGCTTTCAATTCATATTCCCCCATAATTATGCCTATCTGACATCAGGCAGCATCTTCACGAATGTAAAGCTTTCCATCCTAATAGTTTGTAAGAACACTGTTCGTACCATGGTGGAGGCAAACTGGCATTTTAATGTCAGTTTGCCTCAATTATATTTAAATATTGTTGAAGCAGACATGACGTTAAACTGGTGAACCATTATGTTGGTACATTTTTGAATGACCCTAAGACAGCAATATAATATGACTACTGAGAGGGTTATTTTTTAGGTCATAACGATTTGCCACATCTTGGTCGGCAGTAAAGCCAGAAATCAAGACGGAGGAGCTCCGTCTTGATTTCTGATCTTCCTGAACTGGGTGGACACCTTATCTCGATGAACACTTCGACACTGTGCAGATACGCGTCAGATACTGTAAGTCTCGTTGCAGGAGAACTGATCTACAGCGTTGTAAATGGTTGGAGCCATCGAAATATCGTGGAAGAAAATTCAAGAGCGTTTCGAAGAGGCCGTTGCTATTCTGACCACATTTGAGATTTCCAGCGTTACAAGCACTTTAATGGAACGCGTCCCTCTTCGCGCAATGGCGCATGGAGAACATTCCCAGTCTCCAACCAAAGCCTCGTGATCACCAGGATGCGGAACGATTCCAAGCGAAAAACTCGCGTAGTTATAGACGGCCCCGTGACCCCCAATGCAAACTACGTCCCCGTCCTCGACGTGATCGAAGCTAGTGCGCTCTCCTGGACCTCCCACGCTCACACGTCGCAAGTCCCGATCTTAGACGTCGAAGACGGAGGCTCTGCCACGTACAACTTAGATGGTAGCGTGAATACCCTCCCAGCCACTGAAGACTACGACCCACCGCCACATCGGCCACTCCCACCAGGACCTTTACAGCGTCTTTTGCGCTCGTGGATGGTGCTACGATGGAAACTCTCAAGGAATATTTTCTCTACCACAGTACCAATTCTCACCTCACTAGCTAATCTGAAGCTTGGCGATGTATTAATTACGTTTCCTATCGTTGCGGGCGCTATCGCATATACTGCACTACAGGCCAAGACTGTAAATGTTGCTGGCACTGGGACACCGTCTTCTATCGCGTTGGCTGTAGTATTTGGCTTCGCTGTTCGAAACAACTCAGTACTGCTAATTTGTACGGGAATGTCCTTCGAACGTGCTCTCTTCTACCACAAATTGGCAGCTTTGGTTACGATAGTATTGGCGGGTCTTCACGGGTTCACATATATGTCCACGAATGAGCAGAAATTAAATGATTCCAAGGTTATCAGCGGCTGTGGCGCCTTTTTCGCGTTGGTATTGATGCTTGTACTGTCTGTAAGCTGCGTCCGACGGAGATTCTTCGAGTTCTTCGTCCGAGTTCATTGGATACTGTTTATCGCAGTGATCGTGTGTGCTGTTCTCCATGGCGCAGTGTACGTGATCGCTGGAGTCGCTCCTTGGGCCATCGATATGGTGTATCGACTCGCTTATCGCTCTCGTATCTACGCTCACGGCTCCGCCTGCAGTGTAAACAAGGGGGTTATTGCGCGTAACCAGCTCTCGATCTGTGCGCTACCAGGGAATATAACGAGGATTCAGTTCCCGCGAGTACGTCAAGACACACGCGAGACGTTCGCCTATGAAGCTGGACAGTACGCGTTCCTCTGTATCCCGTCGATCTCGTACTTAGAATGGCATCCATTCACAATAGCGTCCTCTCCCCACGAAGCGATGGTGACGTTCTACATTAAGGCAGTGGGAGACTGGACGACCAAGCTGTTGACTGCTGCTCTCAAGCGCGAAGCCAGCGCGATGAGACTTGACGGGCCGTCGACGTTCGATCTGCTCGTGGATGGTCCGTACGGGAAAATTTCCCTCGATTTAGCGACTCCCACTGTGTATTCTCACGTGGTATTATTCTCTGGAGGGATTGGGATGACTCCTATGCGATCTATCGTTAATTGGCTGCATCATGAGTGCTATTACCGAAGTCGAGGGGTTATTCCTCATGTGAGGTTTATCTGGTCGGTTAAAGAGAAGGAGACAATCTCAAGTCTACTCGCTCGAGACGAACCGAGACGAGATAGCTGTCTTGACGTGGATGAAGTGGCGTCCTATTTCCCTCATATTCTGTCCCATCCACGGAACACAAATCACGCTACGGATGCGTTTGTGAGTGAGGTCTATTTAACCCAGGATATATTGGACGAAGAAGCTCTAGATATTCCAGAACTCGCCAACTGTCTGCATATGGGGTCTCGACCTGACGTTATTGCTATTCTACGCGAAATGGGCGAAAAAGCCAAAGACAGCGGCAAGGAACGAGTCGCAGTGTTGGTGTGTGGACCTTCAGCTCTCATTGACGAAGTTCATTACGCCAGTACCAGACTCGCTAGAGAACTGAAGGTGCACTTCGATGTGCATAGAGAAACGTTCGAGCTCTAGTTTTTTTTTTGTAAATAATGAAGACAAGATCCTACAACTTGACACACACAGTTTTCAACGAGTCGAGGTCAAGTTCAAGACGATGTTAATGCAGACTGTCGACTCGACACAGTCTTATCCAACCATTACGACATCGTCACGGTTGGAGTCCGGACTGAACGTCAGCTCCTTACTGGACTGTGTTTCACATGCTGGAGGTTATCGATAGCAAATGCATTAGAGCTGCAGTCATTTCTCTTCTGCTGACGAAGGCCGCCGTGAAGTAGATGAACACTGTGATTCGACTGTGGACAATAGAGCGATGACCAGTGCGTCTGCCGATAATGGCATTCCAATCCTTGAGGACAGCGTATCGACTGATTCTCGATGCTCTTGGGATGATTCGACTACGGTTAAGACATGTATATTCAACGTTGTGACTGCAGTGAGAGAGCTGTCTGCTTCGAGGATTCTGCAATCCTTGCTACGTTTTAGATGGAGACTTTCACGTACACTGTTCTCCAAGCCAATAGTTTTCTTCACGGCCGAGCTTAATATAAAAGTTGGCGATATTGTGGTATTATTTCCTGTTGTGCTCGCGCTAGTCTTGGTTTCTACGGTCCAAACGATAAATTATAACGTCAAGGACTCGGGGATCTCATCTTCAATTGCTCTCGCCGCTGTATTTGGATTGGTTGTGAGAAATAATGCGCTGCTACTGGTAATTACGGGAATCTCATTCGAGAGAGCACTATTTTACCACAAATTACTCGCATTTATAACGATTACTTTAACAGCTTTGCATGGACTTGCGTACATTTTGGCACGAAATAATGGACAAATCGAGCGTAACCCCAAGGTTGCGAGTGGGATGATTGCCTTCATTGCGATGGTTATGCTGTATTTGCTGTCTCTTGGATGTGTTCGTCGTCGGTTTTACAGATTCTTCGTGAGATCACATTGGATACTTTTTATCGTGATTCTGGTCTCTGCCGTGCTCCATGGTAGCGTTATTGCTCTAGTAGGGATACTCCCATGGGAACTTGACGTGGTTTATCGACTCGTTTATCGCTCTAGAATCTACAATAATGGAACGATATTCGGACGAAAGTCAGGGTCTTTGAGTAATGACTTGAACACTAGAACTGCAACAAAAAATACGAATCGACTCGGAGTTGCCGCTCAGGATCAGTTAGAGATTTTCCAGCTTCCAGACGATATCACTTGCATCCGATTCCCACGTGTTCGACCAGATACAGGAGAAGAATTCAAGTATAAAGCAGGACAGTATGCTTTTCTATGCGTACCGATATTATCGTCGTTGGAGTGGCATCCCTTCTGCTTTTCTTCCTCTCCATGTGAGGACTACGTCACTTTCCACATCAAGGCAGTTGGTGACTGGACTATGCAACTGCTGCTAGCTGCTCCTGAAGCTCGAAACGAGGGAAAGGCTTCATTTGAAGTGCTGATTGACGGTCCGTATGGTAATTTATCTATTGATATCGAGGACATGGTAACGTATTCTCATTTTGTACTTTTCGCGGAAGATATGGGTGTGACGTCGATGCGGTCTATCGTGAATTGGCTGTACAGTCAGTGTTATTCACAGAAACCGCGAAGTTTACATCGGCTACGCTTTATTTGGTCCGTGAGTGACAGTGAAATACTTCGAGCAGCATTAATGAGGGTGGACATTGGTCGAATGACTCGAGATCCTTATTTACCGGATGTGTTACTCTGCCCCACGACTCTAAATACTTCGGATGAGACGTTCTTCACGGAGATTTACCTGACGCGGGGTCTCGCTGGAGCACAAATTCCACCGGATCCACGGCTTAGAAAGTGTCTTTGGTTTAATCGTAGACCTGACACTGGGCGAATACTTCGAGAAATGGGGCAACAAGCAACCAAACTTGGCAAGTCACGTATAGCTGTGCTGGTGAGTGGCACAGAGTCAATGGCAAAGGAGGTCATTGAGAAGAGTATAAGGCTGTCACGGGACATGAATCTATGTTTTGATGTGCATAGCGACCAGCTCACATTTTGACCATAACGCGACAGGCTATGAGTCGGACGGCTGGTAAGTCGAATATATTCGAAGTAGTTTTATTAATCTATACAATACATTTGCGCTAGTCAAAGCTGGAGGAGTTATCTAACAATAAATTCTGGTTTCGAATTCCAACAAAGAATTTTGCGTTTTACAGAAGTCAACACAATTATTGTTATTAAAGTTGCTGTAGCTACCTTGTCTACTCGACTACTACATTGGAAAGCTGCTCGCGATCACTATACTGTACGTAATCGCTTAAGTCCAAAAGCTCACTCAAATCAGCGATCACGAGTATGATGGTTTTCTAAACTACTAGTAGTAGGATTCTCACGATCACTTACAGTACATTAGATTTGCATAGCGGCAGGAGAATATAATATTTCCAAAGTATCTGGCTCTGTAAAGTGTGCATACATATTCCGGATACGTGCAGCGGATATCGTATCTGGTGCACGTAGCATAGGTTTGTTTGCGTTACAAGTACAGCTTCAAGCTGATAGTTTTATTAGAACCATTTAAAGAAGATAAGGGTTTATTGGGTTTGAGCTCCCGACTACCAACTCCAAGTCGAAAATTGGATTCTTGTCGGTCATACTGTACCGGCATAAATACTTCAGGGTTAGCACGGACAAGATAGCGAAAAATCGATTAGAGCTCATCGAACAGTAAAAACAGTCAGCTAAAACGGATACGCCTTCTCTAATCTCTCCGTAAACGCGCCGTCCTTCAACGGCATGACCACCTTCTTCAAAGTCCACTGGACATCAAAGTCAGCCTCGCTCAAAGCAGTTCGAGCCTGTTCCGAAAGCTGCTCCCACGTGATGAGGTCTTGAGTGTCGCCGGATTTCTTCGTGAGTCGGACTCCCTGCTTGCTGTCCCCAGAAACTATTGTACGAATCGAACTTGACCGTCGTGCCATCAATAACGTACTCGGACTTCGGAGGCGAGCGCTTCATGTAGCCGACACCGGAGGACATCGACACACCGAGGATGGTCGAGTTGTCGGGGTTCGGATTGTCCGTCCAAACGATAGCGTACGACCAGTAGTGACGGTGGCCAGACCGGTACTTGCGAATGTACTGTCGACCCTTGGGGAAGTACCAGGCGTACATGATGGCCCACTTGTCCTTGTATTAGTTGGGTTTCATGGTAATTCAAATCCCAATTCCACTACCGCAGAATTCCTGAATGACAGACGACTTGACCGTCGTCTGTCACTGACGAAACATGAATTTCGGAGGCGCCCGCGTCGTGAAGCTGATACCGGAGAACTTCAAAACACCGGGGATGGTCCTGTTGTCGGGGTTTGAATTGTTTTGTTCACAGTAATACGTACGACCGGTAACGGCGGTGACCAATGTCATAAACTTCTCTCTCTTCGGCGTTCATCAACTTTTTAAATTTATTATTAAAGTACCTCTGCGATATAATAGTCGCCACTCATCTGTCCTACTATTGGCTGGATAATGAGGGTTGCCTTAACAAGAGCATTCTTATTCGATATGGTAAGTTTACGTGTCAGAACTGGTAAATGCTGTCATAAAGCAACTAGGTTACTGATTTATTTGGGGTTAGCCAATAAAACTTAGCTTTTATTGTGCTTTG